ATTAAGCTGAAATGAGTTCTGATGGTAAACACAAATTATTTTACAATTGTGTAAGTAAATGATGAATAAATTATTTTGCTAGAAAAATTATGTATCAACACTAGAATTGTTATTGAACTGAGCTATTCGCGAACTTGGCCCTGCTCATGAAAACTCAAGCTTGGAATATTTTATTTTAATGAATTAAGCTTGAAAAACTAAATCAAGCTTGTTTATGAACGAATCGAAGTGGATTTGTTCATGAACTACTAATTATTTACTTTTGTGTTTTTTTTTAGGAAATACATAATTATAACGAATTTGTTTGCAAAAATATTTTGTTGTTACAAACAACTTGTTTAGGAGATTAGATTTATTAAATGAACCAAGTCGATTCGAGCTTCAACTAGTCGATCCTTAACAGAGTCTTATGTTCAAATATTAAATGAACACAAGCTCAAACATGAGTTACCCATCTGTGTTAGACAGAAAATCATAATTAACTCAATCATGACATATTTATGTGATTATTATATATAATTTTTTTTTTAATTTTTTTGCATCATGTTGTAGTATTTTTATTTTCTGTTGTGCATTATAATCTTTAACTTTTTGTGTGAAAATCAAGATTTTTCGATACCTAAAATTCTAACAGTACTTGTATGACATCCAATAGATAAATGATGGTAAAGGTTGATGCCACCCTTAAAAGTCATATCATCCGTTGCGTGAAGGACACATACCCCAAAAATTGTTAAAAAAAAAAATAGTATGTGTTCATCACGAGGATGTCACCCTTAAGGCTTGCTTGTTTACAATTATATTAGTATATGATTATTTTTTAAAAAAATTAATATATTTAGTTATTAATAAAATTTTAAATTTATATTAAAATAATAATTAAAATAAAATAATTAAAATTAATTTGATGTAAATATGATAAATAAATGATTAAAGAAAGTAACAAGTTGTTAAAATTATCTGAATAAATAAATAGTTAATTAAAATTTTGTGATGTAGAATAATAATTAATATTATTTAATTATATTAATAATATTAAATATAATAAAATTGAATTAAAATTAAATTAAATTTTAATATAAGGTTGAATTTGTTGTTATATTTGTAAACATACAAGTAGAGATATATGGATTTATTTATTTATTTAAAAATAAAAAAAAATTAAGTGGACAAAAACCAAAATATTTAAAAACATGTGGACAAAAATCAAAACCACGTATTTTGAGAATACGTTTTTTAAATAAAAATGTATTTTCAAAATACGTTTTATAGTCTAAAACGTATTCCGACAATACGTTTTAGTGTAAAACGTATTCACATAATACGTTTTAAAAAAAATTAATAGATAAAACTTATTTTGGTTATACGTTTTACAAATAATTAAGAACTAAACAAATAATTAAAAAAACTAAAACGTATTATTTAAATACATTTTATTTCTTAATTATTTATAAAACGTATTATCAAAATACGTTTTATAAATATTTATTAAACGTATTTTGATAATACGTTTTATATTTTAAAATTAATGAATAAAAAAATTAATATATAGTATGTGTTTTGTGTTTTGGGCTCGTCTGAACTCGGAATTGAATTCCGTTTTGTCCTATACGTAGCTAACGAACCCTCTATCCAATGATGCTTGCATGGCCAAATTATTCTTGAAATCATATTCTCCCAAAGCTCTTGACCGATACATTAAACGTGTTTCGCGTGATTTTACTTTTTGGGCTCGTTCAGATTCGTTCAAGCTCGAAATTCATTACCGCTTCTTCCTATATGTCGACAACGAACCCATCTACACAACCATGATTGCCCGGTCAATCTTTGGGATAAATCTGTTCCTCACGGGCTAAATAATTAACAAATCACTCATTATATAAATAGATGGTCCACGGAGGATTTGTTAATAGGTGATTTGTTAATTATTTAACCCCGTGAGAAATAGATTTAACCCAAAAATTGACCAGGCAATCATGGTTGTATAGATGGGTTCGTTAGCGATATATAGGAAGAGAAAATCAATTTCGAGCTTGGACGAGTCCGAACAGGCCCAAAAAGCAAAGTCGCGCGAAACACGTTTAATGTGTAGGTCCAGAGCTTTGGGAGAATATGATTTCAAGAATAATTTGGTCATGCATGCATCATTGAATAGAGAGGTTCGTTAGCTACGTATAGGAAAAAACAGAACTCAATTTCGAACGGGCGTTGTTGTCGTTCGTAGTCACGACGTCTCCTACATCCACCAATGTTGGCAGAGGGTTGATGTCTCGCCATCTGTGACTGTGTTTTCTGGGATGAGACGTAGTCCTCCTCGGATAGAACTTGACTGAACGACGCTCCTAGTGTGACCTCTTGGCCTCCAACAGTTAGAAAACTATAGGCAATTTTCGGGTTCAATTTATTCCTCATGGGCTAAATAATTAACAAATCACTCATTATATAAATAGATGGTACACATAGGATTTGTTAATAGGTGATTTGTTAATTATTTAGCCTTGTGAGGAATAGATTTAACCCGAAAATTGGCCGGGCAATCATGGTTGTGTAGACAGGGTCGTTGGCGACATATAGGAAGAAACGGAACTCAATTTCGAGATTAGACGAGTCCGAACGGGCATTGTTGTCGTTTGCGGTCACGACGTCTTCTACCTCACCAATGTTGGCAGTTGATGCCTCGCCCTGTGTGATTGTGTACTCTGGGATGGGACGTAGTCCTCCTCGGATAGAACTTGACTGAACGACGCCCCTTGTGTGACCTCTTGCCCTCCAACAGTCAGAGAACTATAGGCAATGTTGTAAGACTATTGGTAAGATAACTATAGACAATGTTGTAGGACTGTTGGAATGCGGCCTGCGCCCGTGGAGGGAGTGTAGGAAATATGTCTTGAATATTCACTAACGAGTTATAAACCCACTCCAGGGCTTGAGTCTGAAAATAAAATTTAAAGTAATTAGTATGAAACACCAAAAAAGAAAAAAAGAAATAATAAAAAACCACAAATTATGAACACTTACATCGCACTTCTCCCGCTCGACAAATGTCTGATAGTCGTCGTCCTGTTGGACAACCGTATACTTGGTAGGGTCACTGATAAGTCTTACAGTCCTAGTGTAAAACCAATCAATGTAACCCTACTCAGCTTGTAGAAAGTGATACATAGGGCATCTTGGAGGACATTTTGTTCTCTTTCATCGACTCAGCCCTTGGTAAGCTGTGAATGAAAGGCGGCCCGATCACCAAATGCCCTCCTAGTCATTCTACGACCTCTGTGGTGTGTCTCTCATTCTTGCTCACCACTAATCATCAGATTTTGGGGGATGACCTGCTGACACCCAAACTGACGGAGAACCTTATCAGACAAGTGGACTTCACGTATGTTCCAACAGAAGATCCACCCCCTATACATCCAAATATGTTGATCTTCTGTGTACTCATCCGAGAGAGTACCTATAGTTCTCTGACTATTGGAGGCCAAGAGGTCACACAAGGGGCGTCGTTCAGTCAAGTTCTATCCGAGGAGGACTACGTTCCATCCCAGAGTACACAATCACACAGAGCGAGGCATCAACCTGCTGCCAACATTGGTGGATGTAGAAGATGCCGTGACCGCGAATGACAACGACGCCCGTTCGAATTCGTCTAAGCTCGGAATTGAGTTCTGTTTTTTCCTATACGTAGCTAACGAACTCCTCTATTCAATGATTCATACATGACCAAATTATTCATGAAATCATATTCTCTCAAAGCTCTTGACTTATACATTAAACGTATTTTGTGCGACTTAGTTTTTTGGGCCCGTTCGGACTCGTCCAACCTCGTAGTTGAGTTCTGTTTCTTCCTATATGTCGCCAACGAACCCTCCTACACAACCATGATTGCCCAGTAAATTTTTGGGTTAAATCTATTCCTCATGGGGCTAAATAATTAACAAATCCTCTATGGACCATCTATTTATATAATTGGTGACTTGTTAATTATTTACCCCGTGAAAAAAATAGATTTAGCCCGAAAATAGACCAGGCAATCATGATTGTGCAGAATGGTTAGGAAGAAGCAGAAATCAATTTCGAGCTTGTAGTCCAAACGGGCCCAAAAAGAAAAATCACGCGAAACACGTTTAATGTATCGGTCAAGAGCTTTGGGAGAATATGATTTCAAGAATAATTTTGTCATGCAAGTATCATTGAATAGAAGAGTTCGTTAGCTACGTATAGGAAAAAACGAAACTCAATTCCGAGTTCAAACGAGCCCAAACGAACCCAAAACACAAAATACATACTACACATTAATTTTTTTTTCATTAATTTTAAAATATAAAACGTATTATAATAATATGTTTTATTTCTTAATTATTTATTAAACTTTTTTAAATTATTTATTTAACATATTATTAAAATACGTTTTATTTATTAATTTTTTTTATAAAACGTATNTAAACTATCCGAGATGTATGCTCATGTCATTAAATAAAAATATATATATATATATTGATGTGCGTTCACGTCGGCAATCAATTTTCCTGTCAATATTCAATGTCTTTTCTTTCCCTTTGTTGGAGTGTGTTGTAATGGCATGTGACATATTCATTATCCCTAGATATCTACAAAAACATCGAAGATGATGATTCTTGAGATGCTGACCAAGAAAACTACAGTGGTGAACAGCAAAAGGAAAAAGACAGAAAAAATATTCAGATATTTAGTTCAGCTAAAGCATTAATTATTAAAGGTAACTTTAATAACACAAACACATCGGGTGTTTTTTTTGCTCGTGTGAACATTTTCAATCAAACTAGTATTCGATAATGTGTATTTGCACAGATGTAAATAAAATATTATAAGTTATTTATATACATATAATATTAAAATTATAAATTAAATAATGATATTATATTTTAAACATAGAGTATTATAAATTATATTTATGTGTATAATATTAAAATTATAAGTTTGGTGAAAGTATTATATTTTAAAATTTAATTATTGATTAAAATAAATAGTACATAACGATTTTACTGTATATGAATCACTATATTAATTGCATAAAATAAAATAAATTATGTATTTTTGAAATTTTAAAGATTTATGACTAATTAATTAGTTAAAAATATTAAATTTATAACAATTAGTTATACGATTTTAAGGAATTTTGCTATGTCATTAAAAAAAATTAATTTATTTAAAAAGTAATCGCTTAAGCAGATAAAAAAATATTATATTAATTTTATAATAAATTACTCAAACAAAAAGTTTTTACAATATAGTTTCTTATGTTTATGTAACTTTCACATATCATTTAGTGTAAAATATAATTATTTATTGTAATAATAACTATTATATGATACAATCTCCAGAGGTGGTGAAATTATTTTGTATTGTTGTTAGTGTATTTGTCCCTATTATACATGTGTTGTATTTTTCTATTTTCACCATGATTAATTATTGTAGTGATATCATAAAAAACAGTAGATATTCCAAATAAATATTTATAATTCTTTTTTAAAAAAATTTATATTCTGAATACATGATTATATAATCATGAATTTCTATAATAAATAATTCATAATTAAGTTAGCATAGTAATGAATATATAAAAAATTAAAAAAGTAAACATTTTTAGCTAATTAACCTAAATTGATATATACTTAGATATAGTGATCATTAGATTTTGTAACTATAAAAAATTGATGTATTTTGTAAAAGTAACAATTTTTATATTTGAAAAATTTGTATTATTTATTAAGTAAAATTTATTATGTTTTATTTATAAAGTAAATTAAATAAAAGACTAACAATTATATATATATAGATAGATGTTTTTGTTAATGATTTGTTATGCGTTAAAGGTAAAGGTAACTTTAATTAAGTTGTAAAACAATATGGCCTTTGCTATCATTATTCATGTACGTTTAAATTCTTATACTCCAAAATTAAATGATAACATCACACCACAAAAGAAACAACACACACACACCTACACAATAAATAAATTATTATGAAGTATAATTAGGGTGAAATAAAAGGTAGGGAGGCTCAGATCTAAAACGGAGCCGAGACAGTCACACCGCCATGGCTGCAAAACCCATCCGAATCGGGCATGCCCCGCCAAGATACGGGTCGGATCCGTCTCTACGCCCGACCCAACTCATACAGTGACTCTCATCATCACAGCCTCACCAAACAACAGTTAATTATTCTAAGCAGAATATGATGACGAGGAAGTACTGAAAGCGAAGCAGTAACTGTGGTTTATGTCTGGAAAACAGAGTAAAGAATGGATATAGATACTGAGATACGTACACTCACACACAGTCACACGAACTCACCGGAAAAAAAGTCATGGTCAACTGTGTGGTACATACGATTTAAAGGGCTGTTTGTTTTCACATTTTTTTTTAAATGGAAATCATCGGCAAGCAAAGAGGGCAACAACCCTTTGGAAAATTCCACAGCTCTTTGTTTGCCTCAGTTCCGAGTTGGGATTTTTGTGAGTGGAAGCCAACGTTTGCCTCAATCAACCATTCTTATACATTAAATAAATTTAATTCATTATTCATCAATTTATATAATTTTAAATAATATCGAACTCTAATTACATTTCTATTATTTTTATATCAAACAAACTTTAATTATTATATTTATTTTAATACAAACTCAAAATGTCATTTAAATCAAACTGAATCATTTTTTTAATACAATCATTTTTAGTATATGTTAGAATATCACTTGTGAGTTGTCTCACATCGTTCATATATGGAAAATAAATTCACCTTATAAGACTAATGGGTTACTCCTTCTTCCACCAATTGGTTTTGAGATGGAACCCATTTGGATTTCATATGGGCTTTTCCCTTCTTTCATAGTGTCCTTCATGGTAGTGGCCAACACTCATTTTCTCTCAGTTTCTGTCAGTATATAAAATGATTTTCACTTACGAATTGTAAGTGCATGCTTGGATACAAAGTTTTTTTTAAAAAAAAAAATCAATCACTTTTTTTTTAACTAAAATATAACTCAATTTTAACTCAACCATAATATATTCAATATTATCAACATAATTAAATAATATCATTCAATTGTTCTTACACATTACATTAACTCTAATTCATTATTAATTCATTTACATAATTTCAACTAATCATCATTTTAGCTCATATGTTTCATACTTTTGTATCAAATCAACTTTATTTATTTTTTAAATAACAAATAACCATAATATTTTTTTAAAATTAATTATACTAAACTAAAAATCCAAATAAAATCAAAACAACTTTATATCCAAACATCCTCTAAAGGCTAGATTGAATGGCACGTGTCCTAAAGAGGTACATTAATATTCAAATTAATATTTCATATTTTTTTATCGACAAACTAAAAATTATTAATTTTGATATCTAAAAAAATGTCTTAAAATAAGTTGATTGCACTTCACACTTCTAATGACTATTACTAACATTGTTTAATTATGCCTCTCAAAATATCATTTTATGTATTTAACCATTAAGAGAAGCTACAAGATGTGTATGGGACGAACACGGGAGAAGAATGAGAAAAGAACAGAAAAACAAAGGAAGAAAAGAGGAAAGTGAGGAAAAAGGGTAAAGAAAAAGAAAAAACAAAAGGGAAAAAAGTACCCAAACCAGGCTTGGTCAGATTGGGCCAGGGAGGTTCGGACCAAGCCCATTGTCAGTACCCGAACCTGCCCCATCTACAAACAGGGCCAATGTATCAAGTATCAACTGTATTGTTTGGGACCTTTATTTAAAAGGGATAGTCAAAGGGTCATTTTATTTAAATGACCCTTTCAACACTTTTTTTGTTTAAATAACCCCATTCAAGAAATAAATATAAATAAGTAAGTGAAATACCTAAAATAGCCTTCTTTCAATTATGTAACCAGATTTTGTAAAAAAGAAAAAAAAGAAAAAAAAAAAGAAACGAACAGAAACGGGAAGAGAACAGAGAGCCCAAGAGGGTGGGAATGGTTGGGAAGAAAACTAACTTTCATCCTACACATAAAGTTTGAATTCTATATTGCAAACAAATGTGTTTATAGTGGAAGAAAATTTATCTCTTTTTATTTAGAGAAAGGTGAAAGAAAAATTTGTTGTTGCTAGGATTTTATGTTATTTAATTTTGATAAGTATTTTGGTTTCATATTTGATGATTGATAAGCATGTAGATTTCATATTTTTTATGTTTTTTATGCCTTTCATTTTTTTTTTTATTTATTTGGATAATGTTGCATTTGATTGCACATAACGAATGTACAGTCGTTATGTAATATCATAACGAATGTACATTCGTTATTTTGAATATCACTACGAATATACCCTCGTTTTTTTTTTTTTTTTTTTATCGTGGTCAGTTAAATACACCTAAACCTTCGATATACGATCCATTATAATAAATGAACTCGAGTTATGGTGTCCCGATTCATATAACAAATGTAGTTTTTTGAAATAACAATACTTCATTTTATTTTTGGAAATTAATTTCGATAATGAATTCTCGTTATACGAACTTATAAAATACTAAAACTATACCCATAACGAGAGTAATTTCCTAATAATTTATTGTATAACGAAGATAGAGTCGTTTCGGGTGTTTTTTTGTCCAAAAATAACCATAACGAATGTACATTCGTCATTATGTACTACATAACGAATGTACATTCGTTATTTTGAAAATCACTACGAATGTACCCTCGTTTTCGATTTTTTTTTATCGCGGTTGATTAAATACACCTAAACCTTCGATATACGATCCATTATAATGCATGAACTCGAGTTATGGTGTCTCGATTCATATAACGAATGTAGTTTACATAAAAATGGCTAAAATTACACCGATAACGAGCTTAATATCTTTATAGTGTGTTATTTTGACGAGCTTAATATCTCGTTTAAGGTGGAATTGTTCGGAAAACTATTATAACGATTATATAATCGTTTTTATTGAAAAAACAATTATACAATCGTTATAGTAATTTTTCGGGATGGAACGCGATTTTTTCTGATTTTTCTATCGAATTACTTCATAAGGCACGTATACTTATTGGACTAATTGGATCTCAATTGTACTAATTCGAGTTTGATTACACTATAATTGACCTCAATTGTATTAATTTGACTTCAATTGGACTAATTCGAGTTCGATTACAATATAATTGTCCGAGATTGTACTAATTGGATCTCAATTGGACTAATTCGAGTTCGATTACAATATAATTGTCCGAGATTGTACTAATTGGACCTCAATTGTACTAATTCGAGTTCGATTACAATATAATTGACCAAGATTGTCCAATTGAAGTCAAATTAGTACAATTTAAGTCAAATTAGTACAATTGAAGTCAATTATAGTGTAATCGAACTCGAATTAGTCCAATTGAGGTCCAATTAGTATAATCCCGGACAATTCTATTGTAATCGAACTCGAATTAGTCCAACTGATGTCAAATTAGTACAATCTTGGTCAATTGTAGTTTAATCGAACTCGAATTAGTCCAATTGAAGTTAAATTAGTACAATTGAAGTCAAATAGGTACATTCTCGGTCAATTATAGTGTAATCGAACTCGAATTAGTCCAATTAGTATAATCCCGGACAATTCTATTGTAATCGAACTCGAATTAGTCCAATTCGGACTAATTCGAGTTCGATTACACTATAATTGACTTCAATTGTACTAATTTGACTTCAATCGGACTAATTCGAGTTCGATTAAACTATAATTGACTTTAATTGTACTAATTTGACTTCAATTATACTATTTTGACTTTAATTGGACTAATTCGAGTTCGATTACACTGTAATTGACCGAGATTGTACTAATTTGACTTTAATTGTACTAATTCGAGTTCAATTGGACTAATTCGAAATTTGACTTCAATTGTACTAATTCGAGTTCAATTGGACTAATTTGAGTTCAATTGTACTGATTTGACTTCAATTGGACTAATTCGAGTTCGATTACACTATAATTGACCGAGATTGTACTAATTTGACTTCCATTGGACTAATTCGAGTTCGATTACACTATAATTGACCGAGATTGTACTATTTTGACTTCAATTGGGCTAATTCGAGTTCAATTACACTGTAATTGATCGAGATTGTACTAATTGGATCTCAATTGGACTAATTCGAGTTCGATTAGAATATAATTACAAGAGATTGTACTAATTTGACTTCAATTGGACTAATTCGAGTTATAAATTAAATCTATTTTTATTTTTAAATTCGACTTTTTATTTAAAAAAAAATTAAATAAAAAATAAAATACAAAATAAATGGATTTTGAAACAGATTTTGTAAACGGATTTTTTTAAAAAAATTATTTTTTTATACAAAAAAAATTTAAGGTGGATTTGGTCGAAAAATAACCATAACGAATGTGCATTCGTCATTCGTTATGGTTTTTTTCGACACAAACGCGCTTTCTTCATGGCTTTTTTGATCGAATTACTTGATAACGATTGTATATTCATGTTACATGTCATCGTAACGATAGTTTGAAGTTTTTAGAGTGTCGAAACACTTACAACGAAACTCTTTTTTGAAATAACAATACTTGGTTTTTTTTTTGTTTTTGAAAAATGAAAAGATCATGTAATATCTTTGTAAATTCATTATTTTAACTTAAAAATGACCAAAATTAGACCTATAACGAGTTTAATATCTTTATAATGTAATATATGACGAATGCAAGGTCGTTTCAGGTAGATATGGTCGAAAAACAACCATAACGAATGTGCATTCGTTAACGAATGCACATTCGTTATGGTTGTTTTTCGACACAAACGCGCTTTCTTCATTCGTTATGACGAATGTGCTTATTGATGCTCTTCTACAGTTTCACTTATGGTGCTAAAGTATTATTATTTCTCTTGGATGCTCCATTGTGAAGTGAAGAACCAAATTGCACTCTATAACGAATGTAGATTCGTTATTTTATACAAAATAACGATTGTACAATCGTTATAATGAAAGGACTATATGTCGCGGTAGCGACACAGGGTCGGACAGAGAAAGTTGTCAGGACGTCGCGGCCGCGACGGACGTCGCGCCCGCGACAGGAATTTTTTTTTTTTTTTAAATAACGAATGTAGATTCGTTATTTTATACAAAATAACGATTGTACAATCGTTATAATGAAAAGACTACATGTCGCAGTCGCGACATGCGTCGCGGGAGAGACTCTGGGCCAGACAGAGAAGGTTGCCAGGACGTCGCGCCCGCGACGGACGTCGCGCCCGTGACAATCATGTTTTTTTTTTTTTTCAAAATAACGAATGTAGATTCGTTATTTTAACAAAATAACGACTGTACATTCGTTATTTTTTAAATGACTTGTAATCGGTTTCTCGACTTATTTTCGGGAGCTCGGCATCGAATCCCTTCGTTATTTATTAAATTAAAACTTCTCATTACAGTAATAACTTTAACCATTTTGATAAAATACTATTATAACCACTGCATTGGGAAGTACGTAAAAAATACAACTTAAAAAATCGACCACTCGCATCATTGCATTGAAAAACACATGAAAAACAATAAAAAAATGTATTATCCAAAAAATCCTTACAACCCGTTACATATTAAATGTTTAAAACAAACTATGGATCAAAATGAGCACCAAATATTTCAGCCGTTAGTTTTACACGCAATCACTAATCCGAGATTGATCTACGCCTTCAACATTCTTCCGAGCATGCAAAAATTCTATACACTTGATTGTAAACATCCCACAATCAAACCTGCAACATAAATGTACAAATTCCATTACTTTACCAAGTTTCATAATACACTTGAAAACCTAATATGATCAAAATATATTTAATACATAAGAATGTACATTCGTTATTTCATACACCATAACAAATGAATCTTCATTATAGTTATATTTTTATCTCAGTCAATTAAATACACCTATACATTCACAATATAATACATTATGACGATATTTTACTCGTTAAAGTTATAAGTTAACTCATTTCTAAAGAATACTAATAAAATGATTTTTTATTCTATATCGAGCTTCTTTTATTCTTTGAACTTAACAACCTTAAAGCATGCTATTAAACTGAAGCTTGAATAAATATTGGCTTATCAAAACACATACATGTAATGAATGTACATTCGTTACGGTTATTTTTAGATCGAAGATAGAATCATTAACACGTCATATATAACGAGTTTAGAATATCATCCTAATGTCATATATAAAGAAGATAGAATCATTAACACGTCATTCCATCAAAATAACCATAACGAGAGTACATTCGTTATGATTTCAACATAATGAATGTACATTTGTTATGGTTATATTTCCATCCCGGTCGATTAAATACACATATACCTTCGCTATATAATACATTATAACGATATTTTACTCATTATAATTACAATTTAAGTGATTTTTAATGGATTCTATCAATACATAAAACGAAACAAGTATCGTTATCTCATAAAATGAGTTTCGTTATAAGTATTGCGATACTATAACGAGTGTGCATTCGTTCTAGTGTAATATATAACGAAGATAGATTTATTGGTTCTAAGTATACAACAAGTAGCATAGGAAGCATTTCATCAAACATATAGAGTGCACCAATTACTCTCTTACTTCATTAACTCAATCCTATAACCATTTCATCAAACACATAGAGTGCATCAATTATCATCTTCAATTCCATCAAACCAAACAAAATTAGATGAATTCACATAACACAATCAAAATCTTTCTCCAGCAATATCAAATTGAATAAAAGAACAAATTGACAAAAAACGAAAAAATTCGTACCGACATTGATGAGAGAGAGTTCCATAGTGATTGTTCGCGAAAAATTGTAGAAGAAAAAGCAGAGAGCGAGAGGGAGTGACAAGAAGAAGAAGAGCAGAGAGTGAGAGCAAGAGAGAGCAACGAGAAGAAGAAATGCGGGAGCAGAAGAGAAAAATGGAGAAGGAAAGAAAAATTTATTACAAAATTATGTGAAGGGTATATTAGTACTTGTCTTTATAATATCATTTTTCATTTACGTTATTTTTCCCTTTTGAGTCAAAGGTCATTTGGCCAATTTTGTTAATGGGAAAGGTCATTTGAAACAATTCCCTGGTATTGTTTGCTCGAGATGGAATTTTATGAACATATATTTCTATAAAGATTCGTCAAAATTTCAGCATTACATTTCAGCATTCCAATTTCAATTTCATAGTTAAGGTTGAAGCTGGTGATGATGGAGAACTTTTATTCGTTTATTTTATTTTATTTTCTAAATTTATTATTTTATTTACTAAAAATCAAGTTTTCACATTTTTCCTGCCCCAAGTTAACAATTTTCAATTTAATTTTTTCTATAAATCAAAATTTAATAGGAAACCTCCTTCAAAAGAATACAACAATTACAAAACAGATACAATTATAAATCCCAACAGAAAACAATTGGAGGCTCAGATCTAATGGTGACGACCAGGCAAAGGAGGCATCAACCACGCCATGGCTGCGGATCCACCGGTTGCATCTGATTACCAGACGCCGTCCGGGTCGCCCCGCCAAGATACGGGTCGGTTCGCCAGTAGCCCGATCCACAAGCTCAGACAAATAATAGTAAGGAATCATCGTCACAGCCCCTTCATAACCACACACACACACACAACCCAGAGAGATACAGGGCATGATTGTATATAAAATATTATGATTATTATTATTTTTGTGATGTAAAGGGCTGTTTATTTTTATTTTTCAAAAAGAAATCACAGGGCTTGAAGTGAGGGGCAAACAGCCCTTAGAAAAACTCCCATTTCCTCACAGTGAAGCCCTCATTCATTGTCTGAGCGATTTTTACCATTCTTCCTCTGATGGGCGTGCTCGTTTTTTCAGGTTTTATATTACCAGTGTTGTTTTCCTCTAGGGCAAAGGATAGTCTCGTCACTGATGATGTACAAATAATGTTGGTCCAATTGGTATGCTTGTGGGCCGGCCCATAATATATTTAAGCCGGCTCGTTATCATTTTATTGTTGAACACAGGTTCGTAAATTTTCTTTTCATTTTCAATGCAATGACTGTTGTAGTTGGAAATTAATTGTTGGGACATTTTCACTTATGCTACACGATTGTAGGAATATTGCAAAATTACCATTAATACACAATTAATTGTGCATGTACCTAATAGCTAGTAATTAATTATATTGTTGCCTAAAAATCAGTTACAGATCTTGATTCCATATTCCATATTTAAGAAAAGATGACCAATTGGACCTGCTCAACCACCGCCTGAGACCTTCTTGTCCGCTCGTCTCATGTACGTGATCTCGAGTGTATATCTTAGATATATTTTATGTATATGTGGGTTCTGAAATCGATTTTGAGAAACTATTGAAACTCGAGTGTATATTTAAAGTATATTTTGTGTATATTTTGTGTTTGCTCGTCTCATGTACGTGATCTCGAGTGTATATCTTAGGTATATTTTATGTATATGTGGGTTCTGAAATCGATTTTGAGAAACGATTGAAACTCGAGTGTATATTTAAAGTATATTTTGTGTAACATATACTGGTTTTGGCTTGGGATGGACTGGATCATTCATATGCAATTCCAACCCCTGTGAATGGAAAATGGAAAAATAAAAAAATGGCTGACGGAGAATAGATCCAAGAAGATGAGTGGTGGTCCATAGAGGTGCTGCTGTTGAGAATAGATCCTTGGTTCAAATCGATTGGTTCGGGAAAGGAATTGAAGGAACCCCTTTCACGTTGCATTAGTTTCACGAGTACAATAGGGGAAAAAAAACAAAGGAAAAAAAGAAGAAAATACTATGGACACAAGTACAATAGTTTCACGAGGATCTGCAGACAAAAAAAAAAAAAAGACTCAATTCAAGATATGCAAAAGAATTGTAACTTGCACATACTAAACGGGTTTTATGCAAACATTTGCTTCAGGTTTTTGAATTGTCGGCAAAGATAGCATCTTTATAAGTCTTTGGTCTTTGAGGCGGAAGTCTTCGGGATAGAGCAGCGGCGAAGGGGCGGTGGTGGGCGGTTAGATCTGAATCGTCTATATCGGAGGTCGTTGAACCACGGTGGAGATTAGGCGTTCGCGGCGGGGATGGATGGATGGGAGAAGGCGAAGTGGCGAAGGGGCGGTGGGTGAGAAGAACCGGCGGATTTGTAGAAGAAGATAATGAGAGAGAGAGAGAGAG